GATCAATCATACCTACATCTAATCCACACTCATAAAATGAGCTATCTTTAATCTTAAGTTTTGCCAAAAATACAAGTGAACAGGTGTGTCCCAATCTAATTCTACACATGACAGATGTACTATGTTTGAAACCATTTCTGAATTTAAAAAAACCATGGTTTGGAGGGGATGTCAGGTTGGAGTTCTGCATAATAATTACCAATAGACTTCTGAGTTTTTTTCCAAAGAGAGCTCCAATCTGACATCTGATGGATTTTCCCAAGAGAAATAAGGTTATGAGTATATGTTATATGATGCATGAGGGTACTGGAAATAGATGCTTGTTTTGCTAAGGAATCGACAATTTCGTTGTCACGTATGCCACTATGACTTGGCCGCTAAGCAAGTTTCAATGTTAATACCTTGACAAAAACACCTATACAGTGCATCTTTTATTTTAAAAATAATTGCGAATTTTGATTTAAGTACTTTGAAACGGATTTACAAAAATTAGATGAAATGCTTTGTCAACTATGAGTCTATCTATGAAACTATAAGTCAGTAAAAACAATACATTTGTTAATTTTGTGCACTTCTATAAATAAAATTGCTTCTAAAATAGCAACAGTTTCACCAGTGAAAATTGAAGTAGCATTTGGATTTTTAAAATTTAAAATAATTTTATATTTCGGTATCCAGACAGCTGAAGCTACAAAACTATTATCAGAGAGCTTAGAGGCATCAGTAAAAAGGGACAACCATCCTTCCCATTTTTTAAATGAGGCATACCTGTCATCTTAGAATCCAGAAAAACACCTATTAATTGTCGGAATTATTTGATTTCGTACTGAGATTGAAATATTGGGACAAAATCATTTTCTAGAGATTACTACCCATTCGAAATCCAAACTATGTTTTGGCCAGAAGAACTTTATTATCAACAAACCATTCTAGATGATTTTTAATTATATGTTCACTTACTATTAGTATTTATTACACATATGACCAGATAATGATTTCAAAGGACTGTTTTAAAACATTGTTTATTAATAGCATTATACATAGTTATCTTTGGGAAGGGTGTACCAAGGTAGAGTAATTTGAACAGTGAAGAATGGACAAGGTCCTCAATGTAGACTATGAAAAATAAAAGTTATCTTTAAAATAGGCTTTTGACGGCTCCGTGGCGCAGTGGCTTTGCAATCAGTTGTTGCGCTGGGAGCCGCGGGTTCGAATCCCTCACGGAACTAATATTTGTATGGTCTACAAATAATTGTTCCGGGTCTGGATGTTTGTCCTTGTGTAATTTATGTTTGTAAACGGCCTCCACGACACAGGAGAAAATCCTAGTGTGGGGGTAACTTTTTTTAAGATAAAAACAAAAAAAAAACAAAGAAAAAGGAACAAGTATTTGAATGGATTATGATAGAGTAAAGAAACAGCAGGAACCGTGGTAGTTCAGGGGCCCACTGTAAGATACATACAGACTGAAAACTGACTGAAGTCTAAATTGTGCTATGGAAGTAAAGAAAGGTCATAAATTTATTACATATAGAATAAAGAAATGTTTGACACTACATTTACCTGAATGACTTTCTCTTCTTGTGGTGGTCCTTCTGTTGGCCCATCTCTGTGCCAATCAATCCAATGGTATTTATGTTTTATACCTCCACCTATACCTTTTGCAACCACTCGTCCTGTTATTGAACAAAAACATTGTATTTCAGTAAACGTTTGAAATATTAAAGGTACTTAGATAGCAATGATAGATGACTAATAAACCTGTTACAGGATCTCTTCCAGCGAGATTTGTTACGTCTAAAGGTTTCACTGTATATTCATTTGGAAAATGTACGATTCGCCTGTAACTTTTACCGAATCCGGGTTTTGGTTTATGAATGTTAGGCTTACTCGCTAAATTATAACACGACACATGTATCGTTCTCCTCGTTATCAAATTTGATGTAACAGTCAAACTGGCAAATAATCTATTTAAAGCCATTGTAAGATTTATGTTTCACTTTCAGGAAAATTGGAAATACTATTACTTTTTTGTTTTTCTATTCCTAACCTTATAAAAAATATAAATAATACAAAATATTTTAATGAATTAGTGGCAAACTGACAAAGGAATCTGTGACAATACAGCCTAGTGCGACGTATGTAGTTCACATTTTTTTTTTTTACATTAACTTGATGGTTTTTAAAATATATGAACGGTTAGGAAGATTTTGATGGCAACTTAAACCAGCAGTCAATGATGATAATGTGACAAAGATGCAACGAAGGTTTTAAAACGGAAAAAATAACTTAAGATTAGTAACTAGGTAAGTTTTAACAAAATCAATGTACAAAATGCATCACGCTTACGTTTTAAAATCGATTTTATTTTTTATAGAAAAGATAACATATGACCAGCTTTGAGCAGCAATAATTCACTTACCCTGACCGTTAAGCTCAAATAAAAATATTATTATTATATTAACCGATATTAAGATCTGTAATAATATGTTCTAGATCAAAGAGCAATGGCAGACTTTCATACATAAAATTAGTTGAGAAGAAACGGTAGCGTCTATATACCAAAAATATCTTAAAATGTTAAGCGTCAGTCCCTTAATAACTCTGTCAAAGAACTTTGTACTGAGAAGGCGTCAAAAAAAAGATATTTACATTTGAACCTTTTTAGGTTATGTCCTATGTCACTTGGAAAAAGTCATGCTTCCTGTGGTTGTTTGATGTTAGCTTAATACATAATACATAATTGAGAGTTTTTAGATTATTGTATCTTTATTATATATTTGCATACTATAAATGTATATTTCTGGCATGGCTCCAGGGCTTTTGTACCATAGTGACATTCTCAGAAGGGCTAGAACCCAGAGCCGTAAAGGCAGTAAAAAAAACAGTGACATTTTATTTTAGCTAGTGTTGGCATAACATTAAATGGAATTGTTACATAATACTATGATTGAGATAATGTATTATTGTAGGAAATTCTTTGTAAGAGACTTATTTTCAGCCATATTGCTTTTATTTTTGTTATTACTGATAGTACAGTCATTACTAATAATAAATTAATATAAAAATATTTTGTGTGTTGTGTTGGTAGTGTTACAAAGTGTATACGAAAATAGTAGGAATATACTAAATGGCAACATTTGAATAGAGTAAAATGGTTTCAGTCATTTGATATTCCCAAAAATGTTTGCTTTTTTCTGTGGCTTTAATTAAAATACTTTTTATTTGAAAAATCATAGAAAAATAATAAAACTCATTTTATATATAACTTATTTCTAGACGCTATAATTTTTGTCAACTATTTTTCTGCCATTGCCCTTTCGGTCACGGAGGCCAGTCTCAACGCAGACTAGCCACCTGCACATGACAGAATTATAGTACCCGAGTAAATGCGCGAACACAGATGCACTTTTATTCCCTCATTCTCATAGTCCGACGGGATGGTTATCCGAGACAACTGAAGAAGAAACACTCGCAGAAACTACGACTTTCGTGCTTTCCGTGGGGTGGTAACCTATTGACTCTGGGCTGTTACTGAATATTTCTTGACAGAAAAACCGAATGACCGACTTTAGCCCAACTAAGGATTCAAACCCAGAACTTCATGATCAGCAATCACGTTTACAACCACTAGACTAACGATGCAGTCATCAGTCTGTAATAGTCTCCTTGTAAGTAATATTTTAGCTACTAAATACATTACACGCACATGCATTTACATTAATTTACTCATTCAGCCAAACCGTTACTGTCACAGCCTATTAAAGTCCACTGCTGAACATAGGCCTCCCCTATAGATAGGCAACCGCAGTTTTTAGTAGTTATTAGGAAGACGCTGCTGCCCATGTTCTGATTTGTGCATACCTTTAAGTTAAATACATATTATATTGAATAATTTTGTTAATAACTGCAAATATTTATTAATAATATTTTAATAATGTTTTGTCTAAATAAATAAATAAATAAATAATAGTAAATTATTAGTGTAGCTAAAAAAAAGTAAATGCTCCCATGTTGATAAAAACCTCAAGTTATTTTGTTAGACTTAGACGCCTTAAGAACTAGAAAGATATTAAAATGGTAAAGGATAATTATTATACACAGATCTACTACATTGTGTTATGGTAGGCTACTTATTCGCATGTGGGTATTATGTTTATTTTAAAACCACTTCTGGTATATTAGATATCGAGGGTTATTACTTTACATAATAAATATACCATGTAAAAAGTAATTTTTGTAATAATTTTAGAAGTTTTTAAAGGCTGAACGAGTTGTTGTCTGTGCCACGAAAATAAAAAGTGTAACGACTAATGACGACCTCTAGCGGCAATTTTCTGATAAAAATACATCGTGAATGTGGCGTGTGTTGTTTGGAATATCGTGAGTCGTAAATAAAAATGCACTCAATCGACTAGTATTTCATGTTATAAGTGAACTTCTGTCTCTTAGAACAATAATTTATCAAGAGACCTATTGTGAATAGTAAGAACTTGACGTAAAAAGTAGTTTACGTTTTGTATTTTGTCTTATGCTGCACGCCTTGGAATCTTGATGAAGACAAAAAAATAATCGCATATTCCAATCCCAAATTGATAATGCTGTAAGTATTATATATGTGTCGCTTATGTAAATTGCGATTATTTACTTGAATATATATATTTGTCTCTGAAATAATATATATCGCGGTTGTAATAGCCAGGTTACAGTTTCTTCTCATCATAATCATTAGTTGCATTCGATTTTATTTTAAATTACAAACATTGTATCGAAATTATAGTTTACCTTCCAGGTTTGATATTATTAAGTATTCTAGATATACAGATATTGCAATCTTTTATTTTTGTTACAGATATAGGCACAACCAGTCTTCCGGCACATTATCGCGCTTTCTCGTCACAATGAGGTGCCTTATGTGTGAAATTATTATCTAAAATCTTCAATTCTTACTTAAAAACTTCCCATGATGGTAATCAGAGGTGAAAGAGAATAAGATCAAAATGAGTCACAATCTGGCAGGAATGCCATCTTATAGGTTGCCTGGCCCAGGATTAGGCCCGTCGGATTTTAAGCCACCAATGGATACACCGACCCCGCCAGCCCCTGCACCAAGCAATCCAAAAAAGCGAAGAAAAACATCAAATGCTAACAATGCACTTACACCGCAGCCACCACCAACTGCTCAAGACTTACTACCCCCTCCATTAACTGGTTATGGGGATACTATTGTTGCATCTAACCCTTTTGATGACTCTCCATCAACAGTATCACATAATGGCCCCATGATGAGTCAAAATGGGCCCATGATGAGTCAGAATGGACCTATGGGAATGATGGGCTCTATGCACAATATGGGTGGTCCTCCCATGAGACACATGAGCCCACTGCCACATAACATGAGTCCAATGAATCAACAAATGCCACCAAGAGGAATTAGTCCTATGGGAAACATGAGCCCTATGGGCCATATGGGTGGCATGTCCCCGATGGGAGGGCCCAATATGGGAATGAGTAATCACAGCATGGGGCCAGGTATGGGGCCTTCAAGGTCAATGGGAAGTCCAATGAGTCCTATGAATTCAATGCCTATGGGTTCACCTATGTCATCTGGACCTATGGGAAGTCCAATGAATATGGGTTCTATGGCAGGTGGCCATATGAGTAACAGCCCCATGGGACCTCCTATGCATAGTCCACTTGGGGCAGGATCAATGAATGGTCCTATGAATGGACCGATGGGAGGAGGTGGGCCTGGTATGAATGTTCCAAGAATGAATGGACCAATGGGACCAAGCTGTTCAAATGGCTCCATGGGCCCCACCAGTTCTATTATGTCACCAAGTCCAATGCAGAGCGGCGGTATGGGTCCTGGACATTGTGGTCCAATGAGGCATGGAAGCCCAATGGGATCAGGTATGGGAAGCGGTCCTATGGGAAATAGTGGCCCAATGACTTCAATGGGCCCAGGCCCTCCATACTCCAATAGCCACATGGGACATGGTGGACCTATGGGAATGGGAAACAGCGGTTCCATGGGAATGGGACCAGGTATGGGTAATTGCGGCCCACTAGCTGGTATGAGTGGAATGGCAATGGGAGGGCCTGGAGGGCAGGGTGTTGGCCCTATGGGTCAAAATATGAGTATGTTTGGCCCTAAACCAATGCCCGTTAGTGCAGGCAAAGTTTACCCACCTGATCAACCAATGGTGTTTAATCCACAAAATCCTAATGCACCGCCGATATATCCATGTGGTGTGTGTCACAAAGAAGTACATGATAATGACCAAGCAATATTGTGCGAATCGGGATGCAACTTTTGGTTTCACAGGTAAGAAATCACCACTCAATTTAATTTTACTCTTTTTATTGTAACAATTACTAGGTGGTAGGACTCCTGTTCTGCCTATTTTTACTGTCAAGCTGCGTTCCCAACTGAAGGGAGAGTCAGTATAATTACAAGGTGTAAGGTACTACAAATTAGTTCTTATATGTGACAACACATCTGTAGCCTCCTATGTTTGAAGTTGGCTGCAGGTGTCTGTTCTTAGACTCACTTCAATTAAAAAAAAATCTTTAGTATATGTTTCTTATGATTTATTAGGTAATGATTTCTTTTTTGATAGATGAATTATTGTTGTATTTATTACTATTATTATTAGGTCATATTTATTAGGTCTTGAAGATTGATAGCTGTAATTTTTATCATCATTACAACATTATTATATACTTTAAGGACAATGAAATCCATAGCTGGACATAGTATTTGTCAAAAAGTGATAATTTTTTTTAATACTGATCACATCATTTAATATGAAAAAGTTATAAAGAATGTCATAGAATAAAAAAATGGTTAAGCTAAAATATACAACAAAAACAAAATTTCTAAAAATTTAATAGTAAGTTTTTTTTTACAATAAACAATATGCCTAATAATTAAACAAAAAAAAAACATGTGAGAAAATAAAATTAAAATTTGAAAATATTTTTCTGATATTTCTTCACCTACTGGTAAGTCAATTCAAAAGTTATGCTATATACCTAGTCAGGTCATAAATTCTGTCACATGTTTAATATAAAATATATGAAACAAGTTTACATAATGATTTCTTATATTTACGCGAACACTACACATTTTTAAATAAAACTAATTTTACGGATTTTGTCGCGTATATTAACTTATTTTTATATATTCCACCCGAAACGTCGGGAATATATAAAAATAAGTTAATATACGCGATAAAATCCGTAAAATTAGTTTTATTTAAAAATGAAACAAGTTTATTCATTATGTAACCATTTATATACCAAAATGAACTTAACAAAACATAGATTCTTATGACACTAAAGTTTATTCAAAATGACCTCCGTGATTTTGAATACAGGCCTTCAATCTGTGCGGCCAGTCGTCTATCGCAGCACGAACGAGGTCCATGTCAATATCCGCGGCTGCCTTAATCAAGGATGTCTTGAGTGACTCCAAATTGGGATGAGGCTTTGAGCACGCCTTTTCCTCCAAGTGTTGCCATATCTTGTAATCTAACGGATTCAAATCTGGACTGGAGGAGGGCCAGTCTTCGTGCCGGATGAAGTCGATTTCACGCGCCGCCAGCCAGTCTTGTGTACTCTTCGCTCTATGAGCTGGCGCCGAATCTTGTTGGAATACCCAGTGCCTGTTATTGAACATGGTATGAGAAACAGGTTCCACAAGGTTCGTCAGGACTGTATTTTGATACACAACTGCATTCGTTTTTACCTTTCTCACAAAAATGTACCTCTGTTAAGCCCCAATAAGAAATTCCCAACCATACCATGAGCGAGGATGGAAAATGACCTCGTTGGACACGCGGAATACGGTTGCTCGCTTCTTCACTACTGTGTGCGTACACCTTATCATTTTGTTTGTTGTAGCTCTCTTCTACGGTAAAAATTATTTCATCGGAAAAAAAAATTCCCGATATTTTTTTCCCGCGTACCGCTTCAACAAAGCGCGGCATCTCTTCAGTCTCAGGTCCATTAGACGAGCATTCAAACGATGTCCTGTTTTTCTTCGATATGCCCGAAGCCCTAAGCCTTCATTTAACACCCTTTTCACCGTGGTTCTGCTTAACCCCATCTGAAGGGCCAACAGTTTCTGCTTAAGTTTGGGATTTCTTTGAATTTGCGCTTTCACAGCTTTTATCACTGCTGCACTCAAAAGGGCCAAATAATTTAACTTAAAAAAAAGGAGTGAACAGCTGATTATTTACTTTTCTTCTGTGGTAAGACACAGTGTATTGAAGATTAAAGTTCCAACTTCAGAAGCTATTAAATTATCTATGTGAAAATTATTTAATTTTTTGAAGTAATTTTTTTTAATTTAATGATGCCATTGTTAAGTTTAATTAATTTTAACTAGAGATTGTCTCTAAATACTGGCCTAGGTGTATCTTATGAATGTATTTACTGTTAATTATTGCAAAAACTCACTATCAGATTACACTACAGAATCTAGAAGTGTTATTTTTTTTATATTGAACAAACATGTCAATGAGTCCACAGTCCACCTGATGGTAAGCAGATGTTATGGCCCATAGACACCTAAATGTATCCTCGATTAAAAATCAAAAATACATGCATTGTCAACTCCTAAAATTATGATAAGATTGCCTTGTTATCTGTAAAAAAGGTCTCTGGTTATCTACACTCACCATATGAAACACATGAGGCATTAAGCTGCTATTTTTCTCTGGTATTCTGTGAGAGAGTAGACTTTACTCTGTCAAGTCAATCCATTCATGCTGAATTCATTATACAACTGCAGCATGGTACTACCACATAAAAAAAAACTGTATAGAAAGAAAGAAAGAAAGAAAGAAAAGTTTATTTGGTACATAAATCAATCGTTTACAAAAAATTATTTACAATAAAAGAAATACAATGTACATGCACCAAATAGGTTTCCACTCAGCATGAGTTCACGGAATTAATAAACTTCGTGAATGCTGGTTTTCAGTGGAACCATAGGAAGATGATAGATGGCGTAACAAAACAGTGATTAATATGTAGCAAACACAATCATATAACAAACACAAAAAGCCTCATATAACAAAAACAGAAAGCAAAATAAAACAAAATTAAAAAACAACAAAAATAGACATACATAAAATAAGACAATAGAATTGGTTACAAATACATGCTTGAGCTGTATGCAAATATTAGTGAGTTATGTGTGGTCACTACAGTTATGCCTTAATTGTGCTTGTTTATTCTTCCAATTATACGGAAACTTAAGTGCTGGATTTTTGTGTTGAAAGGAGATACTTTTTTAAGTTGTTTTTAAAAGACTTAGCAGATGTTGAGTTTCTGATTGGTGGAGGGAGGTCATTCCAGCACTTAGTAGCAGCAAATCGGAAACTACCACGGAAAGCAGCTGTACGATACCGGGGACAAATGAGCCGCGACGCTGATCTAACATAACGATATGAAAATATTAGCTTTTCGAATAAATACAAAGGTTCTTTGTTCCGTATAACCCCATACGTATATAGTGTACATATATAGGTAGTTCCTGAATGTAAAGGCAGGGGTGCAGGGATTTTCTAAAATTAAATAGGTCATTAAAAATGAGTATGTGCTTCAAACAGTTTCAAGAACTTTGCTTTACTTTAATAACTATCTAATTAAGTGAAAACACTTAAAGTCGCAAGCGAATGGGTCGGCTCGACCGGGGAAGGACCACACTCTCACAGAATACCAGCGTCAAACAGCAGCTTCCTGCTGCTGTTTTTCATATGGTGAGTGTAGAGAACCGGAGAACCTTTTTACTGGAAAAGAGGCATTTTATCTTAGTCCTCACGGGTGATCACGCATCTGTATTTCGATTCGCAAATGAGGATAAATGTAGATATTTATGGGCCACAGCAACAACTTAGCATCAGGTGGACTGTGTGCTCATTTATCACCCTATCCTATAAAAAACGGACTTTAGGAAATATTAGGGACTACTGATCCGCTCTGCCTTTGCATGGGTGATTTCTGGATCACCACAACAGCGCCACCTACCGGGTCCAAATATGAATCTAAACTATCTAGGGACCCGTTTAAACACAAAAAAAAGTTCATCAAAATTGGTTGAGCCGTTTTGAGTTTTAGTGAGACCAAGGGACAAAAATTCATTTTTATTTATAGAGATAATAATGGTCATATGGACTGTGTGGTGAGAAATGTGATTTAACATTGCCATTTTGCAGCACAACCCTCCCTTACATAAGTCTCATGTTGTGTTTAATTAATTGTTATTTCAATAATAATTATTGCTTATTATTTCTGTTTGCTTGAGAAATTAGCTATTCCAACTGTTGTTTAACTATCTTTTTTTGTCTGTTAAAAATTAACATGAATAATACATGGTACAATAAAGAACAAAATTCATTTTAAATCTTTTGTTCATTTGTATAGTCTAAATCAAATTTGCTTATTTTTACAGTAACTATATAACTCCTAATTGTACAAAACATAGTTTGTTTTATAGAAAATTGGTGACAAACGAGCACACGGTACACCTGATGGTAAGTGATGCTGTGACTCAATAGACATTTACATTTATCCTCAATTAAGAATTAAAATGCAGATGTGTTGTCGCCCCTGAGGACTAAGATGGAATGCCTTATTTCCAGTTGGTGAGTGTAGAGAACCGGAGACCCTTAAGGTCTCCGGTTCTCTACACTCACCATATGAAGCACAGAAACATTAAGCTGCATGCATTATAGTAATTATTATAGTATTATTATTGTACATTATTAGTGTACGCCTAGGATAAGATTATTATTTGTTTGCAAGTATTTAAACTTTCTCATGTAAGTGAATTGTTGTAAATTCTTATGAGAAATAAAGATATCTCAAACCTCATTATAGTAAATGCTTTATAGTCAACTTTATCAATTCCACCAAATTTACAATAATTAACAATTATATGCTTACGGATCCCCCACTATGAATACGACTATGCGGCAGTGGCCACTTGCGCATCAATTTAGATTTCTTGTTGATATGGAACCATGCAAACAGAATCGTAATCAAGTAGTGTTTGTTATATGCTGATTAAGCTCTCATCGTTGTCTGTTTTTGTGGTTTCAGTGTGAATGAGGCTTTAATGTTTAAATTCAGCTACAAGTGGTATAACTCTTCCTGTTATCATTTTTCAGAGGATGTACGGGCTTAACAGAGCCTGCGTTTCAGCTTTTAACGGCGGAAGTGTATGCGGAATGGGTTTGTGACAAGTGCCTACACTCAAAAAATATTCCTCTTGTAAAATTTAAGCCATAGCGATGCGCTAATAATACCTCTCCACCGTTCCTGCCACCTATATGAGTTAGTGCTAAATCATCACAAATATTTATTTCACGCCGCAAACAGTGACTGTAGAACGAATTGTTATTTATTTTTTGGACATTTATGTGACTTGCTGGGAGTCTTAAATAGATCTCAAAATGGATAGAATTAGAATTGTGTAATCACTTGACTCGAAATTGTTATAAAATTGGCTGAACATCATTTGCAATAGGAATGTAAGTTAAATAACGAAATGCAGACGGTCATCCATAACTAGTCTGTTATTTTTGTCATTATAATTTATTTATTCTCTATTAATTTAATATAAGTACAATCCAATTAAATGTCATACATACAACCAGTGTGCTTTACACTGTTTGATATAAGTCTGATGTGCGCTTCTATTTTTTTTTTATTAACCTCTTGTAGTCCGTAATGGTTTTTCTGAGATAAGCTAGAAATTTACAAGTGAAAATTTTTTTGTTTTTATTATTTTACTTTTAAAATTGACTTGTCTTTGAGTTTAAAATGTAAATTACAGCTTTGGAAAAAACTATAATTCTACATTAAAATAAAAAGGGTTTTAGGAATCATAAATATCTTTATCTGTATTTAAACAAAAAACTGTACAAAATTTTATGGCTCGTCCATGTATGTGCATGGGGCATATCTGCTAAAGCAATTTTTTGTGATTTTCATTAGATAAAAATTTGTCAGTGAACTAAAAATAAAATGGAATTTAAGCAATATTGGCTGCTGAACCTGTTTTATAACTGTGTGTATGCTTTACGTTTGTGCATATTGTAAATATTTATAATAAGTTTAAACTTCCGCCTTATTGTAATGGTCAATCATGTAAATTCGTAAATATATTACATTTATTGACATATGTGGTCCTCCTTTTATTATTTGTTAAATGTAAATTCAATAAATATAAGTCAACTATTTCAGCCATCAGTATATTAAAAAATTAAATTAATTAAGCTCATTTTGAAATATTTTTGCCAATACATTTAATGAAAAATCTGTTATGGAAAAGGTTCATATTCAACAGGAAACTATTAGGAACTGATGAAATGTTTTTTTAGTGTTCAAAATTATTAAAACGAATACAATGAAGGACCAGTGTCAATGTCATTTAAATTATATATATATATATATTAATAATTATATGCTCATAAGATATGGGTATATGCAATATAGGCATCATGCATGTGGATGTATTTCAATAATGCAAAAATCAGATATATGAATATGTATCTGATAAATACAGATGATATCAGACGGTACGGGTTTGGCGGGTGGGAGCTAGGTGACAAAAAGTGTAAGATTTTTTCGTCACTACCCCTTGTGTCATAGTGTCGACGGCCTTGGCGGCGAAATAAGGAAGTGAGATGGAATAATATCCATCTCCTTCGCACTTTTTCTTATCTTGCCATGAAAAAAATATTATTTTAATTCAAATGACGCTTCATTTTAATAGACGCGAGTAATTCATTTATTTGTATTTGTTAATCAATAATATAATACCTACGTTTATCAATAATAATATACTACGCAAGGAACTTCGTTCCAACCGAGTATTCCACGACACTTACGCATTTTTTTTTTAATAATGAACTATGACCAACAAAGAAGAAAAGACGGAGTGCTGAAAGAAATAATATTGTAATATATAGTACAAAAAGCTAACTTTCCTTTAGCTAATGTCTATAAAAAATAAATACACTTTTCAGTTGAGCGCTAATAATACACTTAGAAAATAGATGGTAATTTTCTGTTTGGAAAAATTAAGGAAAATAAACAATTTTAATAAACTATAACATTCTTGCCTAAGTCAAATTTTATAGTCTTAATGATAAATATTCGATTAAACAAAAAACTAAAAAGAATCTTACGAAATAATTATGATGAATTGTAATCATTTCGACATCCTCATCCCCATCCATGTGCATGAAGCCTATTAATATATATTGAATTATTTCGCATCGCAACTGTGACGCTGCGTACTTCGCTAATCAGTAACGTACTTATTGTTTTAGTGCCCTAGTTTGCGTTTAATAACAAGTTTTATCTTTATAATGTAAATAACGATGAATCCATACGCTTTGTTAACTTTAAGAGTGTAACAATGTTTGTCAATTTTTTTAACTTTTGAAGATTTTTTGATTATAATAGTGTATTATAAGGTAACTGTTGTAAATAGTTTAGATTGTAGGATATTGAGGAGATTATAATGATGAAACATTGGCTCCGTTTGTTTACTCGTCTTGTCATTGTGTATTTGGTCGATGCGTAGGCGCGGGAGGAAGCTTTATTATTATCATTAATCTTATACAATTTCATGTCAGTGTCGTCATGTTTATGTTTTTGAAGCGCATTTTAATTGAACAAGATTACGCCTTCACTCGCGCCTATGCGAACCGTCTGGTGTGAATCGTACATTACGCGGTTGTGACATAATATGTGTGAATATTTTGCAGCTAAGTTTAAAATGTACGTATTTAATTGTTGCCGCATTGACATTATGGAGTCAGTCATAAAAACCAATATTTAAGCTTCGGGCTGTATTAGATCTAGAAGTATTTTACAATGATTAATGATGACAATTGTTTATAATATTATTTTAAATTTACAATTACAATTACTGGGGAACATCGAACGGTAGCGCACATCCGTCCGCTTTGACTTGTCACTGTCATATTCAAATGCGCGGGAAATCTCCCGTGAGGCGCTCTGTTTGGAATAGACCTTGTATTGTATGATTAATGACCTAGTGCACATAAGAATTTTTTTGATTATTTCGACATTTGTAGGATTTGATAACTTATAAACAATTTTCATGATCAAACTTGTCAAATATTCTGCCAAACATCTGAAGATGCGCTTAGTTAAAATCACATTTAAATCTAGACAAAATTGTACACATTTATATAAAATTACACTGGAATACTTATTTAGTGCTATGTGAAATATTTTAATTAAAGTATTTCTATACATTAATAATAAAATAGTTTAAAAATCTCTTTCATGGATCTTTATAAATTTTTACTTGAAAGGGAAGAAATTGTGAAGTATAACGGAAATCTTTAATAGGCCTAAGAGATTGTTTATCGCAACCCTGAAAAGGCATTTTACTGTGCATATTTCGTGTTGGTTGGTTATCTTATGCCGTAAATAGATACCAGCCAAATAGTATAAATGTTTGAATAATGACAAATATTTGTACTAATTCTCTGCCATATTGCTTTGAGGTTAGTACGAACGTGGCAGCTAAGTTTTCTACGTGATATTTTACACAGAATTATCAACATGTTAGTTTCTCCGCCGGACCTTCGCTGATCTTTAGAGCGAATACCAAAATTAGATGAGTAATCACTTGTATAGTTTCTGTCCCAAAAGTTATTTTGTCTTCATTCATCATCATCATCATCAGTTAGTTCATCGAATAACAAACAGTTATCAACGCACAATAGTCATAAATCATGCATCGGTTTTGTATATTAAAAATGCTATTTACACGACTGTCCCAAGCCTGTTGAACGTTTTTCGAGTATATGTGTGTGTGTGTTGCTTTGTGACCATAGTATAAACGGCATTACGAATATTGTAGTGCGGTTTGTCTTCATTTCCAGAATAATATACCCTATATCCATGGTATTGTCACCACTACACTATACCGGAACTAATAGTAATATGGTGATTGCTTAAAGCCGTTTTGATTCTGATGAGTGTCATTGTAATAGCTATAGTTATAGAACTGGGTTAACTCATTTTATTATGAAGATAAAAATCATTAAATTATAAAACAAAAAGTACTTAATTTTTCAAAGCGTTTTTTTATAAATTTGTATTATAAACATTTTATTACACTGGACATGCCGGGTTAATGACCGCAGAACTGATACTCTCATACTAATAATGCTGCTTCCAATAAGACAGACGTTTTATTGACGTATACATTCATATAATTACATTTTGAAATAAAAAAAGTAAAACGAGGCATTCCATCTTGTCCTTACGGGTGACAACGCATCTGCATTTAAATTCGTAATTGAGGATAGATGTAATATGGGCCACAGTTATCACAGTGATGTAATATTTTCTCATGGAAGCGGCTTTACTAGTTCGAGGTTATCGGTTTTGCGCGTAACATTGTCTGCCTAAGGTGCTGAGTGTGGCTAAATTATTAAGCTGACGCACCAGCAGGGTTAGGCGCTCGTCCATTGAAATTAATTATTGAAATAAATTTAAATTTTAATCAACAAAACAAAATAATAAACGTAATGTCATGTTAAAATACAACTTGCAATTTTGGGCCATAATTTTTTTATCACAAATATTTCTCTAAAATGTTGATGTTTTAAATTCTGAAATTTAGTAATCAAATTTACTAACTTTTCCTGTGCCATCTTAATTAGGCTTAAAAAAGAGTTATTTACGGGGCGATAATTCTCTGTGGCATTACTACCAAGTCATATGATACTTGTGTGCTGTGTGCCTCCTACTCAGTGTAAATATAAATTACCATTTGCTCATAGATCATCCAAAACGCTATAAATTTCAACTTTAGATAATTCAAACAGGGAACACGGTCTAAATAGATTACAATATTTGTTATTTTTCATATACAACTTTATTTCATGTTTTAAACTCAGACGAACAAACTAAGAAAGAAAGACGGAGCGCTGAGTATATTTTGTGTAACTTATTACAAGAACGTACACGTGCATCTAAAATCGTTTGCAACCAACAACATTGCGTTACGTACATATGTGTACGTCCAGCAGTGAACTTACAGGCTGTTAAAAAGAAAGATGTGTGCGTGAGTGACCACGAAGTTGAGCATGGTTTTTACTTCACTCAAAATGTACGCAGCGTTTCGTCTATCTTTTTTTTTGTCCGAGGCTTCAGTTATATCTACGAAACTATATGCGCTTAGTCTGGTCATAGTTTATTTAAAAAATTAATCCTGCGTGAATATAACTAAAATA